CTCTGAGATTTGACAGGATTAATATAGTCAGCATGAAATCTTAGTCATAAAGCCGACCATAAGCGATGGTAAAATTAGCCGCTGAAATCGTCTGCTTATGGAGAGCATCTTCTGCTTTTCCTTCTGGGAGCAAACACCACAGGCTGGGTGCATGGATGGGCAGAGCAGGAGGGCTGTGCTGCTGGGGCTGAGCTCCATGGGAGGGTTCCTGGGTGCAGAGCAGTGGCACGCTCCTTTATCCTTGGGTTTGTGCAGAGCGTTGCCTTTCAGGGCTAAACTTACTTAAAAATTCCATTAAAAAATAACTTTGCTGCACACGAGTAATATTCTCTGAAACACAGCCAGAATGTAATCTTGTGTTGCGTGGGAAGCAATGGGATTGTTTCCCTCCGAGGGTCTGTGTGCCCTGTGCCCACGTGGGGTTGGGTGCAGTACAGTGCAGTACATGGCCACTGCTGGACGTGGGGGTCACAGTGGCAGCCCCCATAGGCACCTCCTGAAAGGTGTCTGCAGGATGTAGGAAAGAGGAAAACGAGCCAAAACCCACAGAGGATCCTGCATCCCCAAGCTCTGTGTGGGGGTCCCCAGAGCCCCCCAAGCCCAGCAGGACCCGAGGCAGAGCAGGTGCTGGTCCTGCTGGCTGCCTGTCCCAAGGCCCGGTGGCAGTTTGGGTCAGCAGTGCTGGAGCAGTAACACACCAACACAGCAGGCAGAGCAATGAGGCCTGGGCACTGCTGGGCTGCAGGCTGGGTGGTGGCACTGGGAGGGAAGCACGTGGCACAGTGGGGCTCAGCAGGGTCACCAGGCGCCAGCTGGGCACCTCGTTGTTCTGTGATGCCTGCACACCCCGGAGCAGTGAGGGCAGTGGGAGGGGGGACAGCGAGGTGCTCGAGATGGAGCTGCTGCAACTCTTCCATTTTAATAATAGATTACTATTAGTATCCACCCGATATAACACGTGCCTCATTATTGCTTACTCAGAATAATTTCTCCTTACAGAACCTTGGAACTTTATTTGCTGAGCATCAAATATGCAGCAATGCATGAATAGTTTTAAGACTCGATCCCCTCAACTCATACTGTGCTTATTTTTTTTTCTTCCCCCTCAACCGTGATTGAAGTCAAATTAACATATTTACCTCCAGAGCTCGTTAAAAAATTCAGGAAGTGGTTCAGAATCGTCTCCCATTGCTGGGTCTGATGCTGGGCTCCCTTTCTCAATAGAGCCATGCAGACCTTTGACTCTCAGCCCTGCGCTCCGCTTCCTCCCCAGCACTCAGCAACAGATGGCAGCGGTGTTACTGCCGCCGTGCTCCCCAAAGGAAGCACTTTGTTTTATTTTATTGGCTTTTTAGGACGGGGGAAAGGGAGAGGCAGGGAGAAGGAATGAGTTATAATAAATAACACGGAGCCCTGGTTGCTGTTTCACTCTGCAATAAGGAAAGGTGTTGCAGCGCCGATGGGTGCAGGCTGTGCGGTGCTGTGTGACCGTGCTTTGCCTTGGCGTATCTGCAGGTGGTAGCTGTTTCCTATAGTGAATCACAAACCTGACTTTTTTCTTATATTTTTCTTGTATTTTGACATCTTCCCATGGGGAAAAAAAACCAACAACAACAACGAGACAAAACTGTGTGTGAATGCAGATGTTTGAAACCGAACCGAGCCTGCTGCTGTATTGCTCAGAGGCTTCTTTCTCCTTCCCAGCCCAGGAGTTGTCCTGCCCCGTGCTGTGATTTATTTCTGAGGCAGCAGGGTCTCACAGAAGCCAAACTGCAGTAATCCCAGTTTCAATGCTCCGTGTCCATGGAGCCGTGCGCTCTGCCCATGGAGTGGCCTTGGCCGTGTTGGAGCCGTGGATGGGAGGTGCTGCAGCAGATCTCTCTGCTCCTAAGTTAGGAAGTGATTGCTGCAGATGTTGTTCCCTGAGCAGTGGGTTAATACTTGGTGGTTAGCATGGGGTAGCAAAAAAAAAGAAAAACAACCCCACTTATTTGTTTGAGGTTTCTGGCTAATTGCCTCGCAAGTATTGCAGAGCGTTGCGGCAGATTTCCTGGATTTTGCAATTGGGATGGTTCTGGTCTAACTGGTCAGAAAGATTTTCAAAATATAGAAAGAAATGGGAAAAAAAAAAATGAGAAAAATAGAGAGAAATCGCTCACCACGTTGCTGCAAAAAGCAGAAGGTGCCAAGTGCTCAGCTGTGTGGTGAGGCAGGGAGGAAGGCCAGAGGGGTCAGCCCAGCCCTGGGGCTCCATCTGAGGTGCAGCACCAGGCACCAGTGCAGGCGTTTGGCTTCCTGAATGTAGCTCTTCAATATTTTCCCAGGCAGGAGAAAACCATTTGCTTTTCATGCAAAACATATAAATCTTGGAAAAGTTCCCAAAGTTGGGTGTTTAACTGCTCAGTTTGGTGCAGTCTGTGGAAGAAGAGGGTTTATTGCCATGCATTATTTTTATTTTTCTCTTTGAAAGGAGGCTGAAGTGTTTGCGAGGCGGACGTTTCCAGTGCTGGGGATGACCAAGAGCAAAGAGAGAGGCAGGGTTAGAAGGGACAGCTTCACCTCACCGTGACATAGGTTTGGTATGGCTGGGGGCTGCTTCTGCTTAGATCCATAGAGTCATTTGAGTTGGAAGGGACCCTTAGAGGCCACCTGGACCCACTCCCTGCAATGCACAGGGACACCCACAGCTCCACCAGGTGCTCAGAGCCCTGTACACTGACCTCAGGTGTCTGCAGGGATGGGGAACCGTCACCTCTCTGGGTGCCCCGTGCCAGTGCTTGTGTTAGGAATTGTATTGAAACCTGCCTGGTTGCTCTTTTTATCTCGTTTGCTTGTTACACCTGTGCTTTGCTCCAGCTGAAGTCCCTCCCTGGGGCCTGCACAAATCTGACTGCTTCTGTCCCAGCCCCAGGCTGGGAAACTTGCTCATTGCTTCTTGCCTCACTGCTGCCTGCTGAAGGCATGGGCAGTGCCTTTGCCATAGCAGTTCTGTTTGTGTGCATGGGAGGGGGATAAGGAGGGGCAAGGAGGGACCCCCAGCCCCAACAGCACTATCCTGCAGCACTGGGACTGCCTGCAGAAGGATCCCTTCCTTGTCTCTGCATTGCTCCTTCTGCTTACCTAAGATAACTGCACAATTACACGTATACACGCATACAGGGCATAGGATTTTGTTGTTGTTTTTTGCATAAGATGGCTATTTTTGAAGTGCCCTTATATCCTGGAAACCACGAATCTGACCATTCTCCCATTCTCCCACCAGCACCTTTCCTGCTCGACCCTGAGCTGCTCCTGCATCCCAAAGGCAGGATGGCATGGATGCTGGCAGTGAGGACCTGGGGCATCCCGGTGGCACCGTCCCTGAGCCCCATCCCCACACCTGTCCCCATGCCCTGACCCAGTGCCATCTTTCCATGGTGCACTCCATGCAGGGACAGGACAGGGGGAGCAGCAGGGGGAAGTTTAGTGCTGCTATCATGTAATCCTGCCGTGAATCAAAGCAACTTTTACAAAACAAGATTCTCTCGCTGTTGCAAAAGAGCTTTGGGGAAATCTGGTTTTTGTGGTTAAGGATCTTAGTCTGATGCACAAGGAAAATTATGTGTAGCTTTTATTTGGCCCAAAGGATTCTTACAACATTATCCGTATTTCCTTTAATTTGTGGGATTTCTAGTAAATGGGCTTAAAAATAGGTCTGGGCAAAATGCCAGGGTACATATGAACAGCAAAAGGAAAGCTCTGCACTCTGAGCGGCTCACTTTCACTTCTTCCTCCATGCCAGCTGCATTAACTGGGAAAAGGGAGTAAACACTCACCTTTTGGGGTTAAATGTAATTACCTCTCTGGAATTCTTTGGAGGTAGATACTGCAGAAAAGATGCATTTGCTGGGTAATGGCACACACGCAGCGTTTGTGTTGAGCTGGCAGTACGGCAGGGGAGGGAGCAGCGCTGGTTGCTGGGCTGGCAAAGGGCTGGGAGCCCTCCGGCAATGGGGTGGTGGTGCAGGGCAGGAGTGGGGCAGAGCACAGCAGTGCTGGGTGCACACAGCGTGTGGGGTGTGTGGTTCTGAGAGCTGGGAAGACCTGAGTGGGTTGGCCCCATAGGCAGCAGTGTGGGAATCACCTCCAGCATCTCCTCTGTGCACGGAGCTGGGTGTGCTGGGGAGGTCCCAGCTGGGCACTGTGACAGCTGAGCCCATCCTTCAGGCTCACCCCTTCATGGGTAAGGTTTCCCAGAGACCTGCTTTTGTTTTCCAAAGCCTGCAGTTGAGCTCACGGCTGCGGTGTTGGTGCAGGTTTGGCTGCAGGATGCTGGTGGGGACCCTGCTCCTAGAATAGAGTCATCCAGCTGCACCTGCTTAGAAAGCCTTTTGGATGTTCCTTTTAAAAAATAATTGCTTTGGGGTTGATTTTCATTCTTTCTGTTTTTTTTTTTTTTTTTAATGTTTTAATGGAGAAGCAGCAAATTTAATATCTTCTGTCTTGGCTGTGTTGTGATTTACATTTGATTTTAGGCATAATTAGAAATGCAAGTAGAGCGCTTTGTGTTTTACCTCTGCTTCAACTATTTATGGCATGATATGCAAATGGAGCAAGCTATGAATATTAAAGATCAGAGCATGTTACAAAGTACCACTGCCTTGAAGGAGTTGGTAAGGGTGCAGGCCAGGTTCCTTCTCTGCAGGTCAGTCCACGCCACCTGCTGCAGTGCCATCATCCACCTTTCAAGGTGCTCTGCAGCACCAGGAAGGAATCTTCAACGTGTCTCACGTGCCAAAATGGAGCGGCTTCCTATGACTGCGAGCCTGAGGGAAGGGATCTTGCTGTTCTCATCGCTTAGACCTATTTACATAGCATTATTTTGGGTTTGTTGACACATCTGAAGTCGCGTGGAGAGCGGTCTTGCATTCTGGGCGGTGTGGGGCTGGGCAGTGGGGCTGGGCAGTGGGGCTGTGTGGCTTCAAAGGGGGCTGCGTGTGCAGCGGGACGCACTGGGGGTGCAGGGGATGGGCTGTGGGATGCAGTGTGTTGTATATGGGGAGCAGGGAATGCCCCGAGGAGCAGTGTGCTTCTCGCCTCCGAGGGATTTAAATTACAAATTTTGACAGAGAAGATTGTCAGCAGTATTCAAAACAGAGCAGGAATTCTTTTGAAATGCCGTCGAGCTGCGCTGCAGCAGTTGGGAAGTTTGGCACGTGAGAATTTGGCCCAGGAGCTGCTGCCAGGGCTTTTTGTCCTTTAAAACTCACTTCATCTGTATGCAACGTCCCGCACTGCCCAGCACAGCGCTGGGCTCAGCATGTGAGGCTGCTGGCCTGTGGGGCCGGGGATCCTCCTCCTGTAACAGCCACAGATAGCTTTATGCTTGTGCATCAAAGAAAAGAAGGATTTGTTGGTGCTTGTGGCCACACGTAGAAAAAACAACCAATAAACCAAATAGGGATTTGGAATCGACTTGTGATCGGCTGGATTATTTATCCGTAATCATTAATTGTACGTCCTGTTGATGGGCTGACGTGTGCTCGTTGGCATTAGGCTCAGTTCCATCTGCAGCATCACATGAACATGAGCCAGCAGTGTGCCAGGGTGGCCGAGGAGCCAGCAGCATCCTGACTGGTGTCAGAAGAAGTGCAGACAGCAGGAGGTGATCGTTGCTGTGCACCTGCAGTGCTGTGTTCGGTGCTGGGCCCCTTGCTGCCAGAAACACACTGGGGCCCCAAATGTGTCCAGAGGTGGACAGGGGCTGCGATGGGTCGGAGCACAGCGCTGTGGGGAGCGGCTGAAGGATCTGGGCTGAGTCAGTGTGGAGGAGATGGGCTTCAGGGGAGACCTCATCTATCCTACAGCTCCTGGAAGGAGGTCGTGGTGAGTTGGGGCCGGCCTCTGCTCCCATGTGACAGCGATGGGATGAGAGGTGATGGCCCGTGGTGTGCCAGGGGAGGCTCGGGTTGGCTGTCAGGGAGCAGTGCTCCTCAGAAGGAATGGTCAGCACTGCATAGGCTGACCGGGGGTGATGCGGTGGGTTGGGAAGTGGGCTTGGGGGTCTGTGGGGGATTTTCTGACCTCTGTGATTTTATGGAAGGCTGGCATTGGCTCCGCTGTGCAAACTTCATGTGTCTGCTCAGGGGCTGTGGGTGCACGCAGTGCTGTGGGACTGCAGTGGGGCGAGGAGCTGGGACCGCCCTTCAGGCACCTCCAGCCCCGCAGAGTGCACCTTCCTTATCTGCAAGCTGATCTTTCCATTAAGGATCAAGCTCAGATGCAATTGTAGCTTCACTTTAGAGAGCACTAAAAGTTTAATGTAGAAACATTTTCCTTCGCCAGAACTTTTTGGCAGCGTCGTTCCCTGATGCTAAAATTCCTCCAGAAGCTCCGGAGCTGCAGAGACGCACTGCCCTCAAAGGGTTAATGACATCATCCCGACTGCTTTTCCTTTTTAAAGCAAGGAGACAAATCTGCAGGCGAAAGTCATTAATCGGAGGCAGAAATGGAAGCAAAGTTTCCCTCCCCTCTGCAGTTTGGTGGCGGTAGGCTGTGCAGTAATTGAAAAGTAAAGCAATGGAATTATCGGCTCCTGTCCAAACGGAGCACGACTTTTCTTTTTTTTTTTTACAACCCCCATTGCATCAGAACTCGGCAGTATTCCTGATGTCCTCATGTGTGTTACTGCTGACTCACAGACTAACTTGCACAAGGAAAAAAAAAAACCCAGCAGGCAGCAGCTCCACCATACTAGGTAATGAGCTCTCGCAAGGAGCGGCGCTGCTGTGCTGTAAGCTCTTCTAATTGACCTTTTAAGATATTTACCTTATTTTAAGGCTCTCCATTCCGGCGTGGCGTGGCGGCAGGGCTGAGCCATGCATGTTAGGTGCTGCCGCTCGGCTGTTGTGTGCGAGGAGAATGCAATTCAGCATGACACTTGTCTTTCTGCTGCGTTACTGCGGGCTGCCTTGGGATGGATGCAGGAGGCGCGTGCTGCAGCAGAGGCGGAGGGGCTCCGGGTGCTTTCTGCTGCTCCTCGGGGTCACCCAGCTGCTTTGTTAGGTTGGAACAGCCCCGAATTCTGCAGGATAGTTTGATTTCCCATCCCTGCCTCTCCTTTACCCCTTTCCCTGTAGCAAGCTGCAAAAAGAAAGAAGAAAAAAAATAATAATAATTCCTTGTTGCTTTTTCTATTCTTGCATGTCCTTGCTTGAGAGCACTTTAAAGCAGCGATGGGAAAAAAAAGAAAAACAAACAACGAAGGAATGGACCGGCGGTGGCACAGCGAGGTGGGAGCTGCCCGGAGGGGTGACCCGGCGCTGCCACTCACCTTGCAGCAGCGCGGAGCTGCGGGCATTGGGAGCTGTGTGCCGCCGCTGCCACCAGCACTGCTCTGCTTCCCGTGCTGCCTTCCAGCCTGCTCTGTGCACGGTGCTCCTCGCCCAGCTGTGCGTTTTGCCTCTCTAAGCCAGCAGCCTCTCGCTGCTGCGGGGCTCGGCGCTGCTCCCCGCTCGCTGCTCTCACTGCAGGGCTGTGATTGCGGTGCTGCAGCACAGCTGCTCCCCACCCGGCCCTCGGCTGGCAGCCCCTGCCCGGCGCAGGCACTTTGTCTGACCCGTTCCCTTCCCATCCTGTCGTTACAAGGGGGGGATGCGGCCCCAGCCCTGCAGCTGCAGCCAGGCTGGCGCTGAGCATCCCCCATGGGGAATCCTGGTGCTACAGCACCTCCCAGCTCCAGCCCCGCAGCCTGAAGCCCAAGGATGGCATATTCTTTACGTTACTTTTTTTTTAATTTTATTTTATTTTCCCTCCCTCTTAACCTCTGCAGAAGAAAAGAGGGGTTCCTGTTACTGCCGGGCTCCCAGGGACACAGCTTCACCACTCTGTTGTGCCATGAGTGCTCTGTGGCCTATGGGGACATAGGGCAGGGACCCTTTGTAGGGCTCTTCTGCCTTTTTTAGGCTCTTTGAGCTTTTTCTGTTGGTGGTGGTGATGAAATCTCCAGATCTCATTGTAGGCTGGCTAAGGAAAAGATGATTTAAATGAATTATCTAATTATTTCTGATTACTCCCATGGGAGCTCTGATGCCAGCATCGTATTCCGGATCGATGCCTTTCTCTTTGCCATTGGTTCACCCCGACCTCTCAGGCCTCAGAGAAGAGAAATTCTTCAGGACCAAGCGATCCTGCACAGAACCTGAGAGCTCACAGCACTGCACTGAAATGTTGATGAGCTCCTTGTGACAAAGGCTGTGACTTCTCAGGACCATGCAGAGATGCACCGTTCCTCCTGGCCTGTATCAGAGCTCAGATAAGAGGCTTCCATTGGAAAACAAAGCGATGTCTTACTTTGGTTGTCGCGTACCTCGCATGATTCTTAAACACTTACGGGGTGTTCGGATGGAATCGGGTTTTGCCCGAGGTTTCGTGTTGGCAAGGAGCCACTGGCTTGTTGTTTGGTGGGAGTGGTGCTCCCAGTCAGTTTGGTGCTGTTTTGCCCCCCAAAAAAGGAGGAAAAAAAAGAAAAGAGGAGTTTTTGAAGTTAGATATTATCACTCGTGTTGCATCTGTGGTCTGGTCATGGTGCTGACTTGTGGCTGTTGGTTGTAGGGATGGGAGGTGCGATGGGGAACAGGTTCTGCTTGTCTTTAGGACCGCCTTGGCCCTATTTATTTGGCTACCAATAGTCCTGCCATAGGGAGGCGATGGAAAAGAGAAGGGAACAAAAAAACAGCGCTGGGCTCTTCTCAGAATCATTTGGGCTTTCAAAAGCTCACTGGGATTTGCCTGCAATCCTGGGTAGCGTATCCAGAAACCGGCTCGGTTTTGGTGACTTTTTGAGACGTGGTTGTTTGCAGAGCAAATTCTAAGCAATGTGAACAATTCCTGTCTATTGGACCAGTTCTGAGCCCGCTATGTGGCACATGGGAGCCCCATCGATGCCTCCTGGTGCTGAGGGCACACCGGTACCCACAGCTCTGTGCTCTGAGTGCGGTGAGGACAGCTGGGTGCGCTGCAGCAGCTCACTGCCGTTCTACAGAGCAGATCTTAACGCCCCATGCAGTCACTGGGGCAGAACTTAATGCACCAAATAGGCACCAGGGCAGGAGGTGTGGAGTCATGTGTGCAGAAATGGAGGGGGGCTGAGCGTGAGCTCTGCAGCCCGTGTCCATTCTCCCCATCCCATCCTTGTCCAAGAGTGCCATGGCTTTTAATCTCCTAATTTTTCCCTGCCTGTGACCGTCTGAGCAGGGCCATGGAAACAAATCCTAGGGCAGTAATTGGAATAAAAAGGCTTTGGGTAGAGAGATAAGTAAGCAAAGTAAGGCCCCACCCTCTTTCCCAGAAAATAGCACCAAACATGCTCAATAAATGCGAAGGTAATTTAAAATCTGAATCCAGGAGACAATGTGACTAGGATTTCATTACTTAAGCAAATGGATTTGCTTTTAGTGGATTCAGCCACAGACTGAAAGAAGCTTTCCCCAAGGGGTAAACATTTTTCCTGCATTTGAAAGGCTTTCTTGTATGTTATGGGAGGGGGGGGGGGGGTGAGAGGGAGGTGGATCGTGCCTGTGGCTGCCCATAGAGCACCTTTATTTCACACTGACCCGGGCTGTCCCTTTGGGGTGGTGGCACTGGGGGGTGTGGGGTGCAGAGCTGCTGGGACTCGGTGTGGGATAAATGGGCTCGGGGTGCTGCTGTGTGGGGTATTGGGCTGCAGGATGCTGGGGCTCGGTGTAGGGATGCTGGGGTGTGGGGTGCTGGGGCTCAGTGTGGGGCTCGGAGTGGAGATACTGGGATGTGGGATGCTGGGGGCTCAGTGTGGGGATGGTAGGGTGCTGGGGATCGGTGTGGGGATGCTGGGGTGCAGGTTGCTGTGGCTCAGTGTGGGGCTCTGCTTGGGGATGCTGGCTGCAAGGTGCTGGGCTCAGTGTGGAGATGCTGGGGTACAGGATATAGGGATGCAGGTGCTGGGTGCAGTGTGGGGATGCTGATATCAGTGTGGGGCTCAGTGTGGGAATGCTGGCTGTGGGATGCTGGGCTCACCGCCCCTTCCCCAGCTCGAGGAGTCACCAGCAGCAGTGCCAGCGCTGCAGACTGTTTGGAATAGTTTAAATGCTTTGACACTCTGGATGTACTAGATGGCAGGGGAGGCAGTTTACAGCGTAATTCATATGCAAAACTGCACTATAAATTTAAAACCTGTCTCAGTTGCCGTGGCACCACTAAGCATTTCATCAGCATACAGTACAGTATTTCTGCCATCTTTGTTTGCATTGCAGTGACTCATCAAAAGTCTGTCTTGTACCAACACTGAGAGCATTCCTCTGGCACTGATATTTCTCTGTTTTTAAAGCTTCGGTTTGAAACTGGCATTTACTTCAGGTCCCTAATCAAAGGGCTCTATTCATCGCAGAGAGCAGCCTGAATGTTAATCTGCATCCGGCCTATTCATTTAGATGCTATGCACTGCCGTGGAGATTTGACTTGGTAAGAGCTTGAGCTCCAGCAGATAGAAGCAAAGGGCTCCGCGCTGCTTTCCTCCCCCGAGCGCTCGGTGTCCCCGCACAGTGTGGGGTGAGAGGAGGGCAGGGGACCCCCGGACACGGCTGGAAGGTACGTGCCCTGCTGGCGGGGGGGCCGCCAACTTCCTCGCTCGGAAGGCTTTTATTGAACCGTGCAGATAGAATGAAATTGGCTCCGAGCGTTCCCTTTTCTTCCTGTTACCCCGTGGCCTTGCGGATAGGACTTTTGTTGGGTTGTTGGGTTTTTTTCCCCCCCCCCCCCCCCCCAGCACTGGGAACAGAGCAGCTCTTTGTGGGTTATTTTCTTTTCGGAGCAGATTTTTTTTGTGTTTTTTTTTTTTTTCCCCAGTCTTTCTCAGATTAACTTCAGTTTGGGTTTTTTTTTTGTTTTGTTTTTTAAAGTGATGTTCTCCGGAGCTTTCAGTCCTCCTTAACCACAGTCTGTACTCAGCAGCATCGGTGGCAATTGGGATTTTCAGTTGTTTTTGATCTGCTGGACTGCTGCATGGAGCCCTGGGGGTGTGGGGGGGGTCCCGGGCTCTGGCTGTGAGCTGCTGAATGCACAGTGCTTTGCTTTGCCTTAGTTGTGGTGCACAGGAGGCACTGATGCTGACCATCTCAGCTTTGCGCACCGGCTCCACGCTGCCATCACGTTTATTGAGGATATGGGCAGCCCCGAGGTACTGCAGGTGGGGGCTGCCCTGGGCCATGACTGGGCCCCCCACCCTGGGCTGTGCTGTGGGGTCTGCGCCCTGGCAGCACCCAGCGTGCCGCAGTGTGTGAGATAAGCGGTGTTTTGTTCGGGGCTCGTTCTGTTGAGAAAGGGTTTAACTGTTGAAATGCTTCCTCTTTCTGGTGCAGACGGGAAGGTTGCTTTAGAAAGTGCTTTGAGATGGGAGCACTGACGGAATCCCGCCTTTATCTCGGGCAAAATGGCACTTTGCTTTCTAAATGTCTTTTCTGTAGTTTCAGCGTAGCCGGTGGTGGTGGTGGTGCTCCTTATATAACGCTGCCCAAGGTCTGTCTGCTCTCTGTGCGCTTTGCTGTGCTCTCTTCTCCCATTATGGGTTCACATTTTGCTGTATAAAGTAAACCCCCGGGGGAATAAATCAGTGGGGTTTATTTAAACAGACCGCAACTTTAAGGAAATGTTTGAGTTTTGGAACATCCCTCGCTGTCCTCCATGAGCGTTGCTTAAGAGCGTCGATAAGCGATTTTATAAGGAACTGCTTTGCTGCGTTGGCTCCAACCACGGCTTGGAGCCTTCGGCGTTACCGTGTGCCTCCGAGCTGCCTGAAAACACTGTTTCTCTCTCCCTGCCTTCTCCCTTTTTCAGATGTGCCCTACTTTGGATACCCCTGCATTGAATGCCTGAGGAGCTCCGGCGGATCCTGAGCCATGTCGCAGATGTTGCACATAGAGATTCCCAACTTTGGGAACACCGTGCTGGGCTGCCTGAACGAGCAGCGCCTGCTGGGGCTGTACTGCGATGTCTCCATCGTGGTGAAGGGCCAGGCCTTCAAGGCACACCGTGCTGTGCTGGCTGCCAGCAGCCTCTACTTCCGAGACTTGTTCAGCGGGAACAGCAAAAATGCCTTTGAGCTGCCGGGGACGGTGCCCCCTGCTTGCTTCCAGCAGATCCTCTCCTTTTGCTACACCGGCAAGCTCACCATGGCGGCCAGCGAGCAGCTGGTGGTGATGTACACGGCGGGCTTCCTGCAGATCCAGCATATCGTGGAGAAGGGGACAGACTTGATGTTCAAGGTGAGCTCGCCCCACTGTGACTCTCAGACCGCCATGATCGAAGACCCCTCCTCAGAGCCGCAGAGCCCCTGCAACCAGCTGCAATCGGCCTCTGCGCCCTACGTCATGTCCCCCTCCATGCCCATCCCGCTCCTCACCCGAGTCAAGCACGAGAGCCTGGAGCTGCCACCGGCCGCTGTGCCGGGCCTGCCTGCCAAGCGGCCCCTGGAGCCGGGCGCACGTGATGGCCCTGCAGGAGCAGGCCCTGCTGCCGGCCCGCTGAAGCTGTCGCGTGTCTCCTACTATGGGGTGCCCAACCTGGCCTCCCTCCTGCCCACCGTGCAGCAGGTGCAGTACTCGCAGGGGGAGCGCACCAGCCCCGGCGCCAGCAGCATCCCCACCACCGACAGCCCCACGTCCTACCACAACGAGGAGGATGAGGAGGACGACGAGGCGTACGACACCATGGTGGAGGAGCAGTACGGGCAGATGTACATCAAATCCTCGGGAGGCTATTCTGGTAAGGAGCGCGCTCTGTCCTTTGGTTTTCCGCTCTCCACGAGGTTTTGCTCAGTCCTTCTGCACTGGGTTGGAGCTGGTTGGTGAGCTGGTGGCTCTGTGGCTTTGCTGGTTTGTAGACAGTCTGGCGCTGGGACATCCCGAGGGCAGTGGCCACCTCCAAGTGTGTCACGTGTCCTCCGGTGCCATGGGTCACCCCCTGGGCTGTGTGAGGCGCCTTCCCCTCGTCCCAGCCTTTTGAAATATGCAGTGCAGCATGCTTGTGTCCCTTCCTCCAAACGTCATCACGTAAATCATACCCATAGATGTTCGATGGGAACAGCTGTGGGAAGGAGCGCAGGAGGACTGCTGTCCACCTTCCTGCACTAACAGCCACTCCTCTGCCAGGCCTGCCTGGTGCACTGGAGTCAAGCAGGGAAAAGCACTTCGAGTCCCGCTGATACCATTTTATTGCTGTATGGAAGCAACCACATCCATGACTCCTCTCAGTGGAGATGCTGTTCCACCATCAGAAATATTTGCCTAGTGAAGGACCCTCTGAACCTCTCTGCTGTGTCCCCACCGCAGTGCCAGGGGTCAGGGACAGGCTCTGTGCATGCACAGGGCTGTGCCAGCAGCCTGCCCTCAAGCTGAATTCAGGCTGCTTCCTTCCACGCCGGGTTTGTTTTTATTTTGTTTTGTGTTTTCTCACTGTAGAGCACGCAGCGAGTAATATGGGCTTGTCCTCAGCGCTGAGCACTCGGAGCATTATTCTTCAGAGAAATGGGATTATAGCCTTGTGTGCTGTGTTTGCCTTTCGCCGTCATGGGGCCAGTGCATAGAGAGCAGCAGAACAAAACCCATCCTGCAGGATGCCGGGAGCCCGGGGCAGGGTGAATGCTGTGCCAAGCAGCTCTGAGCGATGCTCCGAGGCCTGGGAGCATCCTTGGGCATCCCTGAGCCCTTTGGTGTGCGTGCAGCGGGGCGTCATGGTGGAGGGAGGCTGTGCTGCTTTCTTGGGGGGCTGTTAGGATGGAGCTGTGCCCCATGCAGGGCTGCGCTGCCCTCAATTTCTGCTATAATTTCTCTTCCGCAGCCGCTCCGTTTCGAGGGAGTTTCCTGTTTTAATGAAGCCAGCTCTGGTGTCGGGCTTCCTGGAAAACGGGGCACACAAAAAAAGAGATTAAAAAAAATAAATAAAACCTAAGCTATTCCATTATAGTCGGGACTTGTAGAGCTAACTGTGTTTTAATTACTCAGGATAAAGCGTACCCTCAAAAGGTGCAGAATAATAAAACTGTAAGATGGAAGAGAGCGAGCCGGCTAATCCCACTGCTGGCATGGAGCTCCCGCAGCCTCACAAAGGTTGGGGGGAGGGGGCAGCCGCTTCAAACAGATTGCCAGGGTTTCCAGGAGCCCCGTTTGGAAAAACAAAAACAAAGCGAAGGAGAGCGCGGCACATCGAGCCCCGGATTTCAGGCATTTCTTCTTTTTCCTCCCCCTATTTCTATGCTTTTCCCCCCACCCGGCAGTGCTGGGTTGGCTCTGACAGCAGCGTTGCCCAGAGCTGAGCCCCGAATTCGTGCTTGTTTGCCCACACCCAGCCCTGTTCCACGCTCAGGAGCGATCTCCGCAGCCGGGCTGTGAGATGTGCACTGTGACCTTGGCAAAGGGCTTTGCTGGGAGGAGAGGAGCGGGACGCAGCCTTGCTTAGTGCTGAGAACCTGCAGTGTGAACCTGAGGAAAATCCCTGGGATGCGGGGAAGGAGCTGCAGAGGAGCACGAGGACAGGTGAACACCTGGAGCACCGCGGTGGCAGCGCCGCAGCAAAGTGCCCGATTCCATCCATTGCTCCGGATGTGGAGCTGCTGAGGCTCAATGAGGTTCCTAACATCTGATCGGAGAAACGCTCAACTCGAGGAGATGTTAAACAAAAGCCAAAGTATTTTTATCCCTAATTACAGCACCGTGGGCCCACTCTGAAGTGGGCTGCAGCAGGACGTGCAGATGCGCTGCTCTGCGCGCTGCTCCCGGCTCGCTGCTTGCACCTGCAGCACGCTGATGCTGATGGAAGCAGCGGGGTTGTGTGAGGTGAGGCTCCAACCCCTCTGCCTGTCACTGCTTTTTTTTTAGGCAGAGGGGGGAGATCTGGATGCAGCAGAGCTCCAGGATGGCAAAAGACTGGGCTTGGAAGTTATGAAATCCCACATTGACAGGAGCGCCTGTCATTAAAAATTCATCTAAAATAGCCATTATGGAAGAGTTGTGGTAATTAGCTGAGAGAATAGTTTTCTCTCTCCTGGCCTCTGATTCCTGACAGTGAGGAAGGAGGGCACGGAGCAGCCCAGGATCTGCAGTGAGCAGCCCTGACCTGCTGCTATCCATAGGCAGCAGGAGCAGTGCGAGCAGTAGGGCTGGGCAGGAGGATGTGACCCGCGAGGGATCGGGACGTCTTTTAGGACTGTGGGCAGCATTGGTTCCCCCTGGTTTTGCACAGGAGCTGTGTGTGCATTCACCCCGTGCCCTGGGTCAGGCACCGCTGCCCTTTTTAGGCATTAAACTCATGGCGGTTTCCCCCCCGTAAAGCACAGATGTTTAATTTTAGGCTGGCAGATGTTTCACTCCTGGCTGAGGTCTGCAGCGAGGCAAGATAGGGGTATTTATAAAGCGGTAATATTTTTCCTATACTAATTCCAGATTACCTCCCTGTATAAATAGGTCACAAATCAAATCTCTGCATTCCAGCACGTTGTTATACATGTCCCGTTTGTGCAATGTAAACCAGCACAGGCAGGGCTGTGCCGCTCTGAGGGCTGGCTGTGCTGTGCCAGGGGATGCTGCGGAGGGGGGAGACCATGGCCTGCAGGATGTAAGCTAATGGGGTAAAGCTGTTCGGAGAGGAATTCCTCAGGAGAGAAGGTGAAAATGATCCATGCATTGGCACAGAGCAGATGGAGGTGATTTTGTAGCCGTGGGCTCGTGACTTGTGGCTTCCCATTGCAGCTCTGCGCCCGGGCGCTTCCCACTGCAGTGCTCTCTGCTGCATCCTCACAAGTTGCAGATGCAAAATGAAATCCGTGCCTGGCGTGCAGCTCTCTCTGCTTCCTCTGCAGTGCTTCCTGCTCCCCTGGCCGGGGTGGGTTCAGTCCAGGCAGAGCTGCCCCAAACAATGCCCGGCATTGTTCGCGTTGGAAGGAGCTGCTGCCCTCTGAAGATCCACATTAATTAGCAGCGAATACTGTCCTGTTCTTCCGAGCACAGTGGCCAAACAGAGTTGCTTTCTTTGAGAACATGGGAGCAAAGTGTCCCTTGTGCTCTGCATCTTTACATAACTGTTCTGTGCCGTGCCGGCCGTCTGCTGGGAGCAGTCCTAAGCATCCCAGGGCTTGTTGGTGGCACCGAGTTTGTGCTCGTGTTGGATCGAGGCTGATCCCAAAAATGAGTTGTGCCCATGTGTAAGGAGGAGTTGGTAGACAGCAAGACAGATGTGACCGAAGTGTATTAGTGGATTGCCCCAGATTTGTTTATCAGTGGGAAATCAGTGTGTGAGCAGTGGTAGAAGGGTGTCTATCCCACCTGCTGCAGGGCTGGCTGCTGCACTGCTTGCACAAAGACGTGGCCAGGCAGTGCTGCAGGGGGGCACGGCGCATGCAGAGCATTGCTAAGGGGTGGCTGGGGTCTACAAAGCCTGTCGTGCACAGGTAGCACAGAGAGCACCAGCTCTGTGCCACAGCCCTGGCTGCCAGCTGCTGCTTCAGGGCTGTGGGAGCACGGAAAGCTGTGGGTGAATGTTGGCTTTGGCTGTGTTTGCGCTGTGCTCGGCCAGCTGTGCACTGCCCGTTATTTTTGGGGTGCAGCAGAACTGTGGCAGTCCCTTCTGTTCCTGCCTGCGCACTGAGCACAGCTCTGCCGTGATGGAGAAAGGTGCAAGTCTGGAAGCAGAAATGTGGTCCCAAAGTGCTGTTGCTGGGATGGTGCAGCGGGTCGGCCCCATGCACTGCAGGGCTGCTTGGTGTGCTACTGCCCTCCGAATGGGTCTGCAGATGGGGCTGTTGTATGCGGAGAGGGGAAATGTGATTTCAGCAGAAGCAGTTAGGGTACCGAAGGAGGTATTATGGAATTTGGGTGATCTGTTGCCTGTTTTGGAGCCCACCGTTGGGTTGCCAACCCACCCCATGGATGCCTGGGGAAGCCGTCTCCACATGCACACCCCATTTGCAGGTGTGGGGAGCAGCCTGCCCACACCAGGGAGTCAACTGGAGGCAGGCAGAGCATCGCTGGGTGCAGGAGCCTTCCGTGGCACCAAGCCCCTCTGCGGGCTGCACTGCTGCCATCCAGGGCCTTGTGGAGAAGCAGCAAAGCACCTTCCTGGTGACACCACACCTCCCCCCGTGCACTGCGTTAATCTATTTCCCTTTCAATTTTTAAGTTGCACAAGAAAAGCCGGAGCAGATCCCGCTGGAGAACCGCTCCTGTGTCCTCATCCGCCGGGATCTGGTTGCCCTCCCAGCCAGTCTCATCAGCCAGATCGGGTACCGCTGCCACCCCAAGCTCTACTCCGAGGGGGACCCTGGGGAGAAGCTGGAGCTCGTGGCAGGTAATGAGGGGCAGCACCTCTTGGCTTGGGAACTGCTGCAAACCTCTGCTGCTGTCCTGCCTGAAACGTGTTCTTCCTCTCGTGCCGCTGCAGGAGCCGTGCGTGCCCTTGCTTTGTCTTTCTGGATTATTCATCACCAATCATCTTTAAAAAAAAAAAAAAAAGTTCTGAGTTTCCTTTAATTTGCTGATAGAAAAATGTGTCATTAACAGGATTTATTCAATTGAATTAATTTAGCATTTTAATTGAATTCTGCAGCTTGTGTTCTTCCTGATTGGTGTGGGCTGCGTGGCAGTTGTATTTGGATTTAGATGCACAGATCTTTTTTTTTTTTTTAGTATAAAAAAATAATAATAATTCATCAGACTAAAAGATTTACAAAGCAACGGAAGTGAAATTGGTGCCGGTGAGCAAGCTTTGAAAAACCCATCCAAAAATGGGGGGTGTTTCAAGCTGCCTGGCTGGGAGGAAGAGAAGGGATGGGATTTGCTTGGACCTTTCCCTCATCCTTATTTTCAGAGTGGTGGGAAACGTGCAGTCAGTGGGGACCTGGCTGCCCCCCAGTGCTGGGTTATGGCCCTGCTGGGTGCAGGACGGAGCCCTTGGGCTGCTGCCATGGGTCTGTATTGCAGAGACCAGTGCATGGCTGCAGTGCCCAGACCTGATTCCAGCCCCACGAGCCGTGGGCTGCTGCACTTTCCTCTACGCTGCAGTGCCCCATGACACAGCATGAGCTGCTTCCCCCCACCAGCTCACTGCATTTGGTGAAGTGACCCGTGCAGTGCCCTGCTGAGGGACGTGGCAGTCCCACTCCGCACTCCTTCATCTGTGCCTGATTGTCTCCGGGTCGGAGCAGGATTGTGGCTGTGCTCTGCAGAGGGGGCTGGTAGCACTGGGCAGATCTGTGCTGGCAGACAGGAGCCGTAGTTCACATGGGATCAGGAATATTCATTTTGTGCCCATTTACATTTTGAGTGAGACTTCTTACAAGCACGAAGCGGTGCGGGTTATTTCCACGGTGCACACTGCAGGCTGGGGGCACCTCAGCTTCATTTACATTTTTCCATCTGGAAAAAGAGATGAATGTCTGTACCCAGCAGCAGCTGCCTGGGCTGTTTTCCCTCTGCCGGAGTGGAGCTGCCCATGGCAGCACTCAGCATTCCCTCTGCTGGTTCATCCCATGCCATCGCACTGCAGCCCATTGATTGCTGCCCCGCATCCTTCAGCACGAGCCTCTGGGAACCCCCCCGAGCTTTTCCCTTTGTCTCAGGCTTTCCTGCCACCGTGGATTCTGCAAACTTCAGCAGCTCTGTCTGCTCAGCCTTAAGCTGGCCTTGCGACGGTGGCAGTAAATCCGATGGGCGGACGCAGTGTGCGGAGCTGCTGTGACATCCAGAGCAGTGCTCACATATTTCCACCTGCTTTTGTGCATGAAATCTGGGCTCAGGACACTGTCCCTCAAAGCTAGGAGGGATTCTGTTTCTCCAGTAGGTGTTTGTATATCTTGAGAGCAAAGGGTGTCCTTATTTCTGTGCTAGATGGGGATTTTGCTCTCATTTTACTGACGTTCTCCACTCTTTCGCTCGAGAAAAGAAAAAGCCAATCACTCTGGGCTTCTCTTCCTTCAGAGAGAACAAACAGTCTGGTTGTATATACAGTACCACGTGTTCTGTGTGTCTTTGCAGAGTGGAAAAATAAAATGCTCTTGTTTGGCTCCTGCAGACCATCCTGCACACACCGCCCATTGCCGGGCTCTCGCCCTGCCCTGCAGCACAGCACAGCCCATCCTCAGCCCCGGTTCTCCCTCTCTTCCAGGCTCAGGTGTTTACATCACGCGGGGGCAGCTGATGAATTGCCACTTATGTGCTGGTGTCAAACACAAAGTCCTCCTGAGGCGTCTCCTGGCCACGTTCTTCGATCGGTACGTCCTGCTCCCCGAGGGACCCCAAAGTATTTGCTGGAGGTCTGAGTGTGCCAGCAGATGATGTGTGAATGTGTCACCCCCTGGGTCTGCCACACGTCTGTGCCATTTCCCAGCAATGCCTGAACAATGTCCAATTCCTTGCCTTAAAACCTCCGATCTCGGTGCCCCTCCCCGCAGGCACTGAAGGCACTGGGTGCCCCAATGGGCCGTGGGTGCCTGGTGTGAAGGTGCTGCTTTGCCTCTCCTGCAGGAACACCCTTGCCAACAGCTGCGGAACCGGAATCCGCTCCTCCACGAGCGACCCCAGCAGGAAACCTCTGGACAGCAGAGTCCTGAACGCTGTGAAACGTAAGGAGAGGGGTTTGCTGCTGCTGGGGTGGAACTGCATGCCGAGGGCAAAGGCAGAACCTGAGCAGGGAAGGCCGTCTCTGTTACGCTACAGGGGGCGACGTTATGGCGAAATTAGGTGACAGGGAAGTTGATTTTGTAATGTCAGTTTTTTGGTCTGAATTTGATTTTTTGTTTGGCAGCATCTTAATAGGAAGCGTCATCGCCACTTGACTGTTTCGCTGTGTTTTAAAACGTCGATTTCGCAGTTAATTATGGGGTGCTCTAAGAAGGAAATCAAAATGATGGCTTTTGGCAGCACTCAGTGCTGGATACTGCTGGACTGGGTCTGGCTGCCCTGGCTTTCGTGCCCTGGGCTGTCTGAGGCCAAGGCCCGGGGGATTGGGCTGCTGACCCCTCCGTAGGGAGCTGCCTTTGGCACCGTGCAGCCCATCCCACCTGCTCTTGGTGTGTGGTGGAGAGGAAGGGTTCTGTCACCCCGCTGGAGTCTGCATGGCATATTTACTGACTGTAAATGTCACCCTGAGCTCTGCAGAGAGGAACGGAGCGGCGAATGTTCAGAAGCACTGCAGGGTCTGCTGCCTGGGTGCGGAGCTCCCACAGCTCTGGCCAGGCCGGCAGTGCCCCAGCTGAGCTTTGCTGTTGTGTATCAGGGCATCCCAAAATCAGGATGATTTTTCAGGTGTTTCACAGGGAAATATCCAGTGCACGAGCTGTAGTTGGTCATTACTCATCACGGGTTTTGCTCTGTAACATCGGAGTTGTTGGTGGATCCATTGGTTGGGTGCCTTCCCAGCTGGCGGCTGGGCCTGGTGGTTGGGAACCCACTATCCCAGGGCTCGGTCCCTCTCCAGCCCCCCATCTGCCCATCCCTCGGGCTGAGGAGCGCTGTTCTCAGTGTGGCAGGGAGCTGTGACCCCCATCCAAGCACTGGGCTGCAGTGAGCCCTGCACTGGGGCCTGGCGCTGCTGCCCGCCCGCCTCAGCGCCGTGTATCCCTGTCTTTGCAGTGTATTGTCAGAATTTTGCCCCGAGCTTTAAGGAAAGCGAGATGAATGTCATAGCAGCTGACATGTGCACCAACGCCCGCCGGGTCCGCAAGCGTTGGCTCCCGAAGATCAAATCCATGCTGCCCGAGGGGATGGAGATGTACCGCACCGTGATGGGCTCCACCACAAACAGCGTCCCTCTGGATCCCGAATTCCAGCCCAGCTCTGCTCAGGTCTTTGAGCAGCAAATCTATGCAGAAAGGAGGAGCGATTCAGGAACTATAGTAGCACTGAGAACTAACACAGTGAGCGTCGATCTGAGCAACGGATCCAGCCAGTCCTTCGAACAGAGCGAGGATGCCGAGGGCGCCGGCTCTGTCATACAGGAGGCGGCTGCCACGGATGCCATGGCATCGGATACCCAAAGCACTCCCCAACCTTTTGAGCAGGGCTCGGGCCCCTCCAGCCGGCCCGAAACTCCGGTGAGAAGACAGGATGGCACTTATGGAGGGACTTTATAGAGAGAGCAAACGTTTTGCGACCTATAAGGGATCTGTAATACTAAAGCTGCTTGCATGCATTACTAATACAAAACAAAAATGTGATCAAGCCACTTACCTACTGAACTGCTACTGTTGCCTGAAAAAAATGTGATTTTTATTCTGCTTGTATTTAAAATTTATGAAGGAAATAATCGCATTCGTTATACTGTAAACGATAGGTCTGTGGCGACCTACTTAAAAAAAGAGAAAACTATCGGGCTCCTTTTTTTGATATTCCTGAGGTTAGTCTATGCGATTGTAGCTTTTTTTTTTTTCTTTTTTTTTTTCCTTTTTTTTTTCTTTTTTTTTTTTCCTTTTTTTTTCCTTTTTTTTTTTTTAAAGAAGGGGAGGAGAAATGCTCGATGCCCCCCCCCCCCCATCACCACCCATCCATTCCTCAGCTCAGAAGTCCAGCCATCGCTCACCTTGTCCTCGGCAGCGAGCTGTGCGTCGTGGAGCGCTGGGGCGCGGGCTGCTGGGCTGCACGGGGTGGGGGAAACTGCTGCGTGCTTCTGTTGGTGGAAGGTCAGGAGGATGCAGGACGTGTGATGTGGGATGCAGGACGTGGCTGTTCCTTTCGCTGCCCCTCTCGGTGCTGCAGGGTTGGTTCCTCTCCCTCTCCTGCTCTGAGCTGCTCCGCTGCGCTGGGTTCTCCTCGCCCCTGCGCCCGCTCCTATGTCCGAAATGGATTGGGGGCGCAAAGGCTGTTTTCTTTTTTGTTCTTTTTTTTTTTATTATTAAAGAGCTTTGTACCCCTTTTTGGCCTTTGGCTCATCCTGCTGGGAAGAAGCCCTCACACCCAACTGCCTGCTGCCCATCCCAGGCTGCTGTCCCTGGGGCACGGCGATGGAGCTGCGGGGGTTCGGCTCAGCAGGACGCGGTCGGCTCAGTGCTGGGATGGATGGAGGTGCGCGGTGCTGCGCAGCGGTGCTGGGTGTGGGGCAGCCCTGGCATGGCTGAGGATGGCTGCTTTTGCTTTTATTCTTGATTTTTACTGTGACAGAAGGGCCTGCATTAGGGTACTTAGGGTGTGTTCTGCAACGGGTCCGGGGCTCTGGATGAGTGCACCACAAGCGGTCGCTTTGGGCTCCTGGAGCTCTTTCTTTCTTTCCTACTTTAGTTCCTGGATCCAGGCAGCGCTTTGCTCAGGGTTTCCTTCCGTCTCTGTGTTGAAATTTGGGAAGTGGAGGGGCGAGAGGCTGACCCTTCTGTTTTCTTCTATACTTGAAGCTGTTTTTTGGCACCGTGATACGAAGCTGTCCGGCGCTTGGCCCGTTCTGCTGTTCTTTGCCCTGAGACCAAGAAATGCCGGGCTCCTCCCTGCCCCCTGACCCTGGACAGCACATGGGGCAGCCCCTGCTCCAGCTCCAGCCCCAGCAGCAGTGGCTGTGACACAGGGCACAGGACTGCCACTGCCCCGGCCCCATTTGCACTTTACCCACATCCACCATCACCCGCTCCTCCCGACGCGTGGTGCTGCCCCAGCACAGCTGTGATTCGGGCTTCCCCTCCCACCCTCCCCATGGAGCTGAGGGTCCCACAGCCCAGCGTTCCCCCGCTGCCCTCCAAGGTGCCCCCTGCAATGCTGGCTGCCCTGTGAGGGGCTGAGCATCCCTGCTCTGCGCCTGTGGGGAGCACTGTGGGGCCTCCTCCTCCTCACCCCTTTGGATGGGGCTGTGTGGCTCCCTGCTGGCTCGAGGGGCCCCGAGCAAAGCGCTCCCAGACAGCCCAGGGACAGCAGCAGCAGTACTTGAATGGCTTAGGGCAGAGAATCTGGAGAGAGTCGAGTTGCACAGTGAAAATATATATTTTTATACCTAGCACAACTTCCTGTATATTTTTGGGGTTCTTTCTTTCCTTTTATTGCTTTTTCCTTTTTCTTTTTCCTTTTTGTTGTTGTTTTTTCTTCTTCTTTGATTTGGGTTCGTTTTCTTACTTCTTATTACTAGGAAGGCAAACTTCTAAAATGTGAAGGGCGTTGGGTTTCTCCTTATCTGGTAGATGAGGGCAAGCATTTTGCACTAATGTTTCCTGTGTGTGGAGGATTAATGATATGTTTGACAATGTTATGTGGATGATGATTGTATTCTTCCGACAAACACAACCAAGTTACCCCTTTGAAACACTGAATGTAACGCGAGAACAGAGCAGTCCATCGATTGTATGCGGCTTTCCTGAGTGCCTTAGAATTTTTTGATCCTTTTTGTTTCTTCTTTTCTTTTGTTTTTTTTTTTCTTTGTTTTCTTTTTTTTTTTTCCCAAGGAAAACAGATGGAGAGAATCAGATCATAACCAACTCCTTCCTCCTCTTTGTTTACGACACTATTTTAAATTATAGAATTTGGGGCTGCTTTATAATGTGAATAGGAAACTGCATTCATCTAGGTCTGATAGTGTAAAATCAGAGCATCAGTATTTATGGTATGTCTGCACCTTTATTCCTATGCTTGACTATTAGCAATATGACATGTATATTATATATCTGAAGTTATACCAAGCACCTTTAAAGAAATCAGAGCGCGTGCTCCGTGCAGCCCCCATACCCCATATCCACACATCCCTGTGCCCTCACATCCCTGTGGCACCACGTCACCCTGTCTCCACATCCCCACAGCCCCGTTTCTCAGCTCTCACAGGGCTGCAGGACCCTCCTCCTCCCCTCCGTGTCCCAGCAGCGGTGCGGTGCCATTCCCACCCTGCTGTGAGGTTTCACGTGGGGCTGGTGGCCGCACGCAGCCACCGGAGCAGGGATCGATGCCTTTCCTTGTCGTTTTCCTGCTAAGCTTTTGTTGGGATTGCTTGTATTTACAGAAATAACTCGCTGTGAGCGGAGCAGGGCGTACGGCCCATTAACCAACCGAAAACCGAGAGCCTCCGCCGGCTGTAAATCCTGAAGGCAGGGAGCTCACGGCCGTCTGGGGCTCCAACTGCTGTTTCCAAGTGTCCCTGCTGTACAGATGTGTCACGTTGTCGGCCCAGGCCTCAGGGCTGCCCCAAAGCCGGGGCTGTCGGAGCTCTGTGCACCCGCTGGGCGCCGCCATGAGTTTCTTCCACTGTTATAGAAGCGTTTTGCACAACGACGGTTGGGTTTTTATGTCGAAGTTTAAAAAAAAAAAAGAAAAAAAAGTAATAATAATAAAAAAATAATAAAGATAAAATATATATATATATATTAAAAGAAGAGGGGAAAAAAAAAAAAAAAAAAAAAAAAAAAGCCAAAACTCGCAATACTATTTTTAGCAGACAGGAGAATAAATAAACGAACAAAGACGAAACGAAAGAAACCAACGGAGCGGATGGCGAAACGACGCCGCAGGGCGAAGTTCTGAGCCGCCCTTGGGGTCGGGGCGCTGCGGCGTTGACCTTCGGGCGCTTTGGGGAAAGGCAAAGCGAAGGGCTGAGCGGCGCCGCCGTTCGTTCGGCAGCGGCCCGGCGCTGCGCGCAGTACTGTGACTCCACGACTGTTATCGCGGTGCTGTCGGAGCGCCCCGCAGCACCGCTGAGCTCTGTCTCTCAGCCACGGACGATGCTCGCTTCCTTTTGTTTTGGTTGGTTTTTTGTTGTTGTTTTTTTTTTTTTTAATTTCTCCTTTGATCGCGCATTATTCACTGGTATTTATGTGCTCTTTGTGTAGTTATGACTGTTATTTTGTAGCCACGGCTGACGCCATATAGAAGTAACTAAAATGAGAAATAAAAGGTTAAGGACACCCCCCTCCCTCCCCCTTCCCCCGTTGGAACTGTGCTCACAGCTGTTTTCAGATGACGGAAAATCCATTTCTGAGAAAGGAAGACGCGGACGGTGCGACCATTCATTGTACCAGGCTTTGTAAAGTTCACATTTACAGAATAATAAAGGAGATGATGATTGCAGCCCTGCGTGCGTCTGTGCCACAGCCGGGGCTGAGCGCTGCTGCTGGGGGGAGCAGAACCGACCTCGAGGCCGCGGCGGGGCTCCTCTCCTCTCCTCTCCTCTCCTCCCTTTTTTGGCTTTTTCCTCCTTTTTCCTTTTTTCCCCCATATTTTCCTCTTTTTTTTTCACTTTTCCCCCTTTTTTTCACCTTTTTTCCCCTTTTGCCCTTTTCCCCCCTTTTTTTTTTCACCTTTTCCCTTTATTCCCCTTCTCTCTTTTTTCTTTCCCTTTTATCCCCCCTTCCCCTTTTTTTCCCTCTTTCTCCCCTTCTTTCCCCTTTTCCCCTTTCCCCCATTTGTTCCTCCTTTTTCTCCTTTTTCCTCTTTATCTCCCTTTTTCTCTTTTCCCCCTTTTCATCCTTTTCCCCGTTATTCTCCATATTTCCATTTCCCCCCCTTTTTTCCTTTTTTTCCTGTTCTCCTTTCTATTTTTCCCTTCTTTTCCCTTTTTTCCTTCTTTTCCTCTTTATCCCCTCTCCCCCCCCTTTTTTCCCCTTTTCCCATTTTTCCTCTTTATTTCCCTTTTTTCAATTTTCACCCTTTTTCAACCTTTTCCCTTCTTCCCCCCTTTTCCCCCTTTTCTCCTTTTTTTTCCCTTTTTTCCCCATTTATCCCCTTTATTTCCCCTCTTTTTTCCCCTTTCACCCTTTTTTCCCCCTTTTTCCCTTCCCCCCCCTTTTTTCCCCCTTTTCTTCTCCCCATTTCCCCCTTATTTTCCCCAACCCCACTGACCACACATCTGCACAGAACCCACGGGGAGGGCAGCACAGCACGCAGCACAGCATTACATGAACCATTCCCAACTGATTTATTCTAAATGAGTTGTTATCATCAGAATTTTCCTTACGAGCGGCTTTTCTTGCAAACGTCAGTATTTCAGAAAAAAGCCCCAACAGCCAACCATCATCCGACCGCTCCAATATTTCAAACTGATTACTTATAAACACCACTGCTAAAATTAGGCCTTTGGTGTGCAGCATTGTCAGAGCGGCTGTATTATGATGTGCGCAGAGCACGGAAAGATAAACGAGTTATTTAACCAAGCAAACGGCGCTGCTGCAGGAATGTGCAGAGAGAAACGTGCTGGGAAGGGGAGCAGCTCGCCGTGCCCGGTGCTGCCGCGCTCCTTTCGGCACACGGAGCCCCACAGCCTGCAGGCGGGGCTGCAGCCGCTTCCCTGCCCCTGCCCTGACTTCTGCCTGCACGGAGCAAACCCACAGGGAGCCGCTCCACGGCCGAGGTCCCCGCTGGACTGCAGGCTTTGGCTGCCTTGGGGCCCTTTGCAGATAAGTGCTCGTCTTCTGCAGCGCCGCATCGGCTGCATTGGTCACCGCAAGCAGCACTGACCATT